ATTAAAAAAAACGGTGTATTCGCATTTCTTCCATGCGCTTTTGGTCACCTTCATGCAGATTTTTCTTCAGTTCATAAGTGTAGCGATATCGGCACGATTGCTCCGTCGAGAACATTCTGCCCATAATGCTGGATTAGGAGTTCAACGACTAGCTGAAGTCTATGCTGGTGTTGGTGCAAGGACGGTTGCGATTTATGCACAACAATTGAGCACCTCCGTGATTATTTAGATTTTGAGAATTTATTTGAACTTCTGATGGAAAGGCATTGAGAAAAGGCGCTTCTGAAATTGCAGATTTGTGGAATACCTTTAAAGCGAACTATTTCTAGATTTCAAATTATATATTTGAGATTTAACATATTAAATTTTACTGTTTTGTTAAAAATAATTATTTGTTGCTCTTGCTTCTCAACAAGATGATGACGGTAATAGTAATTCCACACTAGTGCTGGTATTGTACAATTTAGCTTTTCACTAATCAATTATTGAAACCATTCTCGTCAGTTACGGCTTCGGAGTTGTGAATTCTTGTCAGATTAAAAAATCACTGAATCCGATTTTGTGGATACTAGTTGAAGCAAGCGTACTTGGGGCAAAATTATTGAATTCCTTATATGTTACGACATCAAAGTTGGTACATATGACGAGCGCAGTTTGCGTCATACAGGTTTCTCCTAGCACATCAACGCAACGCGCGCGAGCACCTCGTGGTATCGGCGCGTTGTTAGGAGGGCGCGAGGATGTTACGAGATTCGTAATATCATATTTGCAGCAGGAGTGATGAGATTGATGATCGTTAATGTAAAGAGCTCGAGCACGCCGGCTATTCATGCTCTACGAGGACATATACATTGTAGACAACATGCCAATGATACGCTTTCATCACCTGAAATTGTTTGCCATTTTTAAATTCCAGCTCCTTTTTGCTTCATCTCGATGCAGCTTTTGTCAAAAGATTTTAATTCGTGAGCAGAATTTTTTTTTAAGTAACCATCTGAGAACTGCATTGTCTAACGAAGAAGTCTTTTTCTTTCTTCCAACCTTAGCGTATTGAAGGAGAAGAACAGTCTTAATAATTAAATTTTCTATGCAGAGTG